CTCAGACTGCTACACACATGTAATCCTAGCATTGAGGAGTCTGGTGTGGGAGGATTACTGGGCTATTGTAGCAAGGCCTTATCTGGAAAGAAAAAGAAAAAAGGAAAGAAGTGATGGGCTGCAGATGGAGATGAGCAGTGCCCTGGGTGTTATGCCCTGTGTTCCTTGTGTTCAAGTAGATTAGAGCAGAGGTAACAGATTGACATGCCACCACATGAGGTAACAGCTTGAGGGGCCACCACAGGAGGACATGCAAACCCAAGGAGAAAGGCTTCAGGAGAAGTCAACCTTCCCGATCCCTTGGTTCTGGACTTCTCCCTCCAGCACTGTGTGCCTCGACTTTCCGCTGCTCCAAGTCTCAGTGTGCCTCAGGACATGGACATGCACACATGGTCAGTCCCCTGAGCTTGTGGACCATTGAGCCTTCAGGAACCAGTAAGAGCTTCTGAGTAGCACAGAGGAGGGGGGCAGGTGTAACACGAATCTTAAACAGTCTTATTAATAAAAAACTCGGTGCCAGCTATTGGGGTAAATTCTGAAAGATCAGAGAGACAGAACAAGCCACAGCTAACCTCATCTCACCAGCTCCGCAGCTTCTAAAAGTGAGCTACTTCCTGTCTACTCACGACTATATGCCTTGCTGTTCTGCCATCTGATTTGCTCTCTCTGTCCCACTACATCACTTCCTCTTCCTGCCCAGTTCTGTCACTTCCTGTCTGTCTGTACAGACCTCCATGGTTAACTAGTGTTGGAATTTAAGTTGTGTGCCACCATGCCTGGCTCTGTTCCCAGTGTGGCCTTGAACTCAGAGATGCAGACAGATCCCTGCCTCCCAAGTGATAGGATTAAAGGTGTGTGCTATCATTGCCTGACTTCTATATAGTGGCTGGCTTTTTCCTCTGATCTCCAGGCAAGTTTTATTTTATTGGGAGACACAGTATATTGGGGACACACACAGGTTTGTTCTGAAGCCCTTGGAAAGCCCAGTGATGACTTTAAGAACCAACACTTGTTGGATTGCTAGTGTAAGAGCGCATAGTGGGTACTTTGTATAAATTGAGTAGTCTTCCGAACCTGTATTTTATGCACAAAGCAATGAGGGCATAGAGGGAGTTTGCCTTAGGTTACGTGTCTAGGAAGCAGCACAGCGGATTTCCGTTCGGCTTTGCCTCTTAACCTGCACACATGGGGACTGACTGGCTACACTGAGGCCGCCTGTGTTGTTCTGGGGAGGTTTGTCGTTGTAGTCTGAGTGAGCAAGTCACTCCCATCTATGTGTTCTCTTCTTGGTGACTCCAAGACTTAGATGAGATGACATCTCAGGTGCCTGTCCCTTCTCACGCTGAGGTTCCATGCCTATCCCTTCATTATTTAGACATGCCCACAGTGGGACTGGCATGGAGAAGGAAGGGTCCCTGAGCCTCTGCTCTGCCGTTACTGTCCCTACGGCTGCAGCTCCAGGTCCACCAGGGCTGGCTGGCCGAGGGTGATGGCCTCTCGTTCCCTGGGAGGAGGTGAATTCTTTCAGCAGCAGAACTGACCACCACACCATGTCAAACTACTCCAGGCCCCGTGTGGAGGGCACAGGCATCCACAGAAACGTGTGGTCCGCTGGGGCTGCTGGAGCCTTGGGAAGCTGATAAGGCATCAGCCTGTGCTGATCGGGTTGCTTACCGACTCTGCTTCCCTGCCCTTAGACCCGTGTAGGCAGCCACAGAGGGCCGACTAAGGGGATGGTTGTCTGAAGTTCCAAGGACGCAGTTGAGAATAGGACCATCCGGGCGGAAGGGAACTTGGCCGTCAACCTCTGGCAGGCCAGCATGGAGCATATCCCTGGAGGAGGCTGACTTTGCTCACCGCACTGGAGACAGGCTTGCTTAATGGATCCATAATAGATATGAGAAAAGTGCCTTTCAGAGTGCCCAGTTCCTGGTGGCCTGCTCTGACCTCATGGCTTCTCTAATTCTGGTATTAGGACATTTAGATGGAGACAGCAATCCCCTATGTCCTCCCTTCTGTTGTCATGGTTCCCAGGGATCACAACTCCTGTTCTTGTGGGGTGCCTAGGAGCTGGCAGGACTCCTGCGCTATTTCCAGCAGGGCTCTTTAAGGAGAATGACCCGGTGATGTAGCGAAGATCACGCACACTCACTGGTAGGACAGCAGAGGGAGGATGGACTTTCTGAACCACGCCCTCCTGGCTCTTCCGAATGCTGGGGGCGGGGGGGGGGGGGGGGGGGGGGGGGGGGGGGGAGGGAGTTCAGGCAACCTGTCCACTGAGGCAGTTGTGGTGCCTAGCCATAGCGTCACCTCCCAGATGGACACAAAGATCCCGCCAATTCCGATTTACCCAAAGCACTAGAATGGGTGGGAAACAGCTTCATAGAGTATCAGGGTGGACCTGGGGTCTGGATCTCACTGAAGATGCGGTCCTGGCAGGGAAAGGCAAAGCTTTGTAGTATGTCCCCAAGTTCTCCCTCTTAGCTCTGTGGGTAGTCTTATACAGTTGGGAATCATCTGAGGGTCTCTGCCCCACCCTCCCTTCAATCCTGGAGATGGAAGGGCCTGGTACTTTGATGTAATCCTTGTTCTTCAAGTTGGGCAGGGTCTGAGGGGTTTGGCATTCAGCAGGCGGGTACCTGGAAACCTCTCAGGACAGGAGGCCAACTGCCTTATGGCCCAGGGCCTAAAGGCCTCAGTGTATCTCCCATACCCTGGCTAGGATCTCAGAGCCCCAAGATTGCATAGCCCATTTTCCAGGCTTCTGAGTCTGCCGGAGCCTCTAGGCTTCTCTTCAAGGTAAACACTATTCCCTCAAGGTCTCTCTTGATTGGTGCTCAGTATCTATCCAGGCTCCCTCTCCCTGTTCATCCCTACCACTCCATCTCCTGAAAGGGAGCCCGGATGGGACAGTGGTCTAGATATGATGTGAGCAGTACAGCATGCAAACCTTAGTCAATCATCTCCCTCTGTCTGGACATTGTACTGCTTCTAATGTGGCCCAAGACAGACTGTTTTGAGGTTTAGCTTCTAGACAGGGGAATTCCCACCCCCACCCCCATTGTCAGAATAATCTGGGATAAAGGTCTGTTTTCCTAGCCTGGGCTCCACCCTGCCCTGGTGGCAGCCAAAGCCACCTCTGTCCAGATTCATTTGAATGGTCCTGGGAGCCAAGGACTGATGTAAAAGCAGTGAGATATTTTTAATTTGTTTATTTTATGCGTATGAGTATTCTGTGTGTATATATGTGTACCACATGCATGCCTCGTGCCCACGGAGGTCAGGAGAGGGGGTCAGATGCCCTGGAACTGAGTTACATTTGGTTATGATGACAATAAGTGTTCTAGGAACTGGATCCAGGTCCTCTGCAAGAGCAGTAAGTGCTCTTAAACCACTGAGCCATCCCTCCGGGCCCCAGAGGCAGAGATTTTGTGTTTGGTTTGTTTTGTGGCAGGGTCTCAATACATAGCCCAGGCTAGCCTCCAGCCCCTGCCCCTTGACTACTGGGATTAAGATACACACACTACTAGGTCTGGCTGGGTGGTGAGGCTCTTGAGAGATGACTCACCAGGCCTGGGAAAGCCAGGGGTGGATCACTCACGGCCTGGCCTTCAGACCTGAAACTGCCCCTTGCATTAGGAGTATGGCTGTGGCGTCTCGGCTTCTTCAACCCCGGCCTCTACTCTTTCCTGCTCAGAAAACAAAGCCGGCTGACTCCTCACGCTGGCTCAGTTGGTAGAGGCCCCGTGACGCGGAGGGACAGGTGACGTGATGGAGAATCTTGACTGTGGATGTGACTGGTTTGAGAGAGGCCTGGGTGGCTAATGACAGGCAGCTATGAGTGTGTCTGTCAGGCCTGTCTCCAGAGCCCATTAGATCATGCGGCTCTGACCTCATGCATGTTTAATCTCCTGATGGATCCACGATGTGCATAGACGGTTGGAGGTGGTGAGAAATGGAAGGCGGGGCTGGGCTAGGCTGGAAGAAGTACTCCCTGGGGGTGTCTCTGAGTGCCGCTTCTTGCTCTGGTACCAGCCTGTCTTCACTCTGCTTCTTTGTTGCCTGGAGTGGACCTCTGCTCCAACACAACTGCCCTGCTGTGATGGACTGGCCGTCACCCCTGTAATAGGAACCAAAATAAGGCTTTCTTTATGCCAGGTGTTTTGTCTGTATGGAACAGACTCAGTGACTTCCCAGGCGAGCAGTAGACGAGGGGGCCGCTTTTCAGAGGAGCGCAGCACAGTCTCTTGGCGTGTGGCCCCAGCAGAAGTCTTTGGGGCTTGAGTGAGCCGGCGGGGGTGAGCCCAGTTTGGGGTGAAGTAGGGAGGGGGACAGAGGACAAAAGACAGGCAGACTCGGCCCTACCTCAGGAACGATTAGCCAGCTGGAAGCATGTCGTGAGCTCAGTGAGGACCTGCATTAGTTCCCCTTCTGCAGAGATGGCAGGCACCCGGCTTCCACCTCTCCATGCCTCTGTACTTCTGGAAGCGTCACTATGGACCTACCTCTCTGTTTCTGAATACTGCTTGTCTCCCAGAACTTACCCCGTCTGTCCTCCGCTGTCTGTCCAGCCAACCATGCAGAGCGGTGGGACTGTGGACAGTGCATTCCTCATCGTCCGAGCTTCAAGGACATGGAGGTGCCGGGAAGTTTGGTTTCTGGCCTTCTTGCTTCTCAGTGCCACCTTCTTGTTGCTCACCCATGGCCTTATTCTGTACACACACACACACACACACACACACACACACACACGGAAACAGCACCTGTGTCAGCCGCTTTTGTGAAGACACAGCTCCGTTGAGTTTGAGCCTTGCCCTTTTGGCCTCACTTGACCGTCATTTGCTCTTTACAGCCCCCTTCTCTTGGTGCAGTCACCCTGGGGGTCAGGCCTCTCACAGATGAATTGGGAAGGGACATAATTCAGCCTATAACTAGCCGCATCTAGTGAGCCCTTTCCTGTGACTTAAAGAAATGCGTCCATACAGAGCGGGGTGGTTTTACTTGACTAGGTAGGAATAGGTAAAACCATTTCATGCCTCCTATTTGTTTAAATACGCATTAAAGAGAAACAAAACCCAGCTGGGCGTGATGGCACAAGCCTGCTCTCCTGCATTTAGGAGGAGGAGGTGTTGGCAAGAGGATCGGGAACTCAAGGCAAGCTTTGGCTGCATCATTCCAGGCCAGCCAGAGCTATAATATAACCAAGTGCTGAGAGTGTGGCTCAGTGGTCGAGCGCATTCCTAGTGTGCGTGAGGCCTTGGCTCATCCCACTGTGGCTTCTTCACTGGATACTTGGGCTCCCTCACAACATGGCGGCTGGGTTCCAAAAGTCAATGTCCCAAGAAACAAGAAAGAGCAGCTGCCGATGGCTTATGACCCAGCCCAAGCACTGGCTGAGTGTGCCATATGGTCAGGAATCCACATTCAAGGAGGCGGGTGGTGGTTTTGAAGAATTTGGAGGCCCTGGTTTAACCGTACAGTTGGTCTCACCCTTCCTTTTCATAGGCCTTCGTGGAAGTCTGAATCCACTTCCTACTTGTTGTCTTTTGTGGAGGGATGAAAAAGAAGCGTATGTAAAAGCTGGTCTGTGTGGTTTGAACTCAATGATAGTTAATAAATACTTTATTTCATTCATTCTTTAAAAGTTGGCCCCGCCCCGTTGTATTAGTTACTTTATTGTTACTGTGATAAAATGCCATGACCCAAAGCAACTTATGGAAAAGAAAAGAAAAAAAAAAAGAGTTTATTTTGGCTTACGGTTTTAGAGGGAGACTCCATCATGGTGGGGAAGCATGGCAGCATGTGACCAGCGTGGTGGCCAGAGAGTCACTTCCTGGACCTTAAGCACACAGAAAGTGAACTGGAAGTCGGAAGGAGGCAAAACTTTGAAAATCTCAAGGCCTGCCCTCAGTGACTTCCTCCAGAAATCCTGGGCCACCTACACATCCCCAAATAGTGCCCCTAGCTGGGGACCGAGTATTCGAATGCCAGAGACTTTGGGACATTTCTCATTTAAGCCACCACACCGGTTCCTGGGTGTGGCGCTTTGCCTTCTATCTGACACTCCTCCAGTCCTCTCAGATAGAGCATCTGGCCCCGCAGGACAGAGCGTTTCCTTGCAAGCCTGCCTACAGATCAGAGCCCTCTCTGGAGCAGCCTCCCTGCAGCTGAGCTGTCTGCAGAGTGCGGGGATGCATCTGGATGCATACTGTTCCACGCTTCGCTTTCAGGGATCCTGGGGCATCAATGGGAGAAAGCAGCAGCCTCTGTAGCCCTTTTTCTCGGGGTACCCCTCATCAGCATGGCATTGTCTGTGGTGACAGTAATGGGGTGTCTCTGCTCTGTCTGTGATGTTTCTTTGCTGGCCTGGGACTTGGCATTATAGAGTCCCTGGTTTAGGGCAGCCAGCGCCCTGGCTTCTGGTTTTGCCAGCTCACCTCCCCAGCTGTTTTCCTCACCTGTAAAGTAGAGGACTCGGTGTAGTGTAAGGGTTGGCAGTCTGTGGCCTGCCCCACCAAACCCAGCCCAACGCCAGTGTCTTAGGAAGTTTTATTGAAACAGTCATGTGCAGTCCTTTATGTGCGTCTGCGGTGGTTCTGGTTGTCATAGAGAATGTGTAGCCCAGGAAGCAGCGTGTCTGGCCTTTTAGGGAAAGATTGATGACTGGTAGTGTAAGATATAATCAGTATCTGTAGGATTTGCATTTGTGGAGCCAACCAAGACTCAAAAATCTTTTTTAAAGAACTGTATCTGGGGTGACTGTGGTGGCTCATGCCTGTAACCCCAACACTTGGGAGGTAGCAGGAAGAGGATCAGGAGCTGAAGGACATCCTCAGCTGTATATTAAGTTAAGCTTGAACTTGAACTTGAACTTGAATGCTAGCTTGAACTGCTTGAGGCCTTGTCTCAAAACACCAAAGCCAAACAAATAGATTATATCTGTACTGAACATGTGCAGACTTTTTTTTTGTTATTCCTTATAGGATATACAATAGCAACTATTTATACCACATTTATATTGTATTTGGGATTTTAAGTAATGTAGATTTGAGTTTGGGTACATGGGAGGGTATATGTAGATTATATGTAAATACTGTGCCTTATCTTAGAGACTTGAGCATCTGGGTCTTAGAACCAGTGACCCATCATCTCTCATAGGTACCAAAAGCCTGGAATGTTTGTCAAACTTAATTTTAGTAAGAAGGTTCTTCAAACATCTTTAAAAATTTTAATAATAGAAGCAATCCATATAGTACTTACCATATGCATTATTCTAAGAACTATTATAAGGTCACACAGCTCCTAAGAAGCAATGATCTGTCTCCAAATCTGTCCTCCTCTCCACATGATGCCACTTCTCCCTGGTGGTCTTTCTGAGCCTGGATGGCTGAATAGAACTGAGGTGGCTTGTACAGCATCTTATTTTCCCTTTAACCCTTCCCTCAGTGCGCACCCCAGCAGGCTCTCAGGACCCTATGAGACAATTTTCATAGGCCACAAAACCACTTTGTGCCTTAAAGAGTAGTCTTCATGCTGCTGGCAGAACAGGTGTTTTTCACTTGAATGCTAAGGAACGTGTGAAAAATGTAAAGCCTCATATTTGTTTAAATTCACATTAAAACAAGCAGCTGGGCTTGGTGGCACAGACCTGTAACCCCCACCCATGGGAGGAGGGGGTGAAGAAGGGGAGGAGGGGAGAAGAGAGGTGGGAGGAGCAGGAGAAGGAAGGACAAGTTCTAGCACATAAGCTCTTCAGAATTCTAGCTCATTCGCTCCTCCCTAGGCCCTCCTGGGCTGCTGTAACAGAATGCCACAGGCCGGGTCATGTATGAACAATAGAGTTTATTTAGCTCACAGGTCTGGAGGGTGGGATATGGGAGATCCAGGGGATGGATCCAGTGAGCTCCTTCTTGCTGTGCCCCTAAGTTGAAAGACCTCTCAGAGCTAAGTCCTTTTTCAGTCGGTGTTATCTCTTTATAAAGGTGGAACACTGTGATCTCCTACCCTCCTCCGATCAGGCCCTACCTCCCAGTGCCAGCTTTTGGAGGGCACATTCAGACCAGAATATTCTTCTTCTGTGGAAATAAGGATGCCAGATAAATAGGCTTTCTAGGTGTCATCATGCCCAAGGGATGAAGCTAGAGAGCAACGTATCTTTTCTATAACCCTTCTATGGCTATACGGAAGAAAGACATATTTCAACTAGACCAATCTACTTGAAGCTAGTTCCCTGTACCAGAGGGTCTCAAACTCTATGGTAACAGATAAAGGCCAACAAGGGAGAAAAAACAGAAAGGAAGTCTCAGAACTGGAGACCCTGTAGGTGGAACAGAGCGTTGGACTACAGAATGGGCTCCTGGGAATCTGGCATCACTAAATTGAAGATTTAGAACCCAAAGATCCCAGAGAGATCCAACCTTCTAACCACTTCAGCTTCCTGCGGCCAGTTAAAATAAAAGGTGCCTTAGAGAGACACAATGCTAACCAGCAAGGATGACTGGATGTCACCTGCACAGCTCCCTCTCCCAGTACCCCTAAGCCAGAGGGAAGAATGGGAAGGTTGAGTGGTGGGTTGACTCTCCTGGGGAGGTGTAGCCTGGAGCTGCAGACAGCCCCACAGGTTCTTCCTGTGGCAGATGGCTGTCTCCACAAGCCTTCTTTTCTATAATGGGGGATCTATGGAGTTGAAATGCAGCCTCCCTTGGGCCTTGCAGTATTGACGCCTAGGAAGGGGGAGGAAGGTGACCTGAAATCTTTTTATTTTTTTTTGCTCTAGAAGGTTCCTAGCTTTATCCAGACTGAGGTCTTGTTTGTTTGCACAGGCTAGCTTTCCTCAAGTGCCATTTGCCAGCAACCCTACTGGTCTTAGGCATGGGGTGGGTCACCAGTATTCTGGAAGGCAGGGCTTGTTCTGGGAAGGGACCATTTATGGAAGCGGGAGAACTCTGGAGAGAGGGACTTCTTTTCCTTAATATATTACCCAGAAAGCAGTGATTCCTGCAGGCCTGGAGAGTAGGGGACACAGTCCTGTGCTAATAGAGCCCTACTTGGGGAGGGACATGTGGGATTCCGAGTCAGTTCTACAAGCCCTCTCTCTGAACAGCCCTTGTAGGCCTCCTCAAAGTCCTCTAAAGCCGGGCTCTCCTGTAGCTTGTCCTAGAACATTTGACCTCATTTGTTTAATAGCCAACCTTTGAAGGAAAGTAGATAGTACATAAAACTGAAGTTACTTAATTAAAAGGTTTTTCTTTTCTTTTTCAGAATTATTTATTTTATGTGCATGTGTGTTTTGCCTGTGTGCATGGCTGTGCACCACTTAGATTCATGCCTGGTGCCTGCAGAGGTCAGAAGAAGGCATTAGATTTCCTGGAACTAGAGTTGTGGATGGTTATAAGCCACTCTGTGGGTGCTGGGAAACAAACCTGGGTCCTCTGCAAGAACAAGTGCCCTTAGCCCCTGGGCCATCCCTCCAGCCACTGAACTTACTTAATTTGAACAGCCATTGTGGAAAATCAAAGTTTGTTTTCCTTGGAAGTTACGTCCTAGAGCATGTAGCCAAGCATTTCCATCATTTTTCAGGAGTTCTTGCACATACGCGTCACTCCCGTTGGGTTAAGCTGCGTCTAAAGAAGCATGAAGCACTGTGTTAGTTTTTACATCTTACACCACCTTCGGCCTTTGCGTGGCACCTGGACACAATGCAATTATGCTAAGTGATTTTGCATTCTTAGTTAGCTGGAGGTCTCGACTTGTGCCCAACTCTGTTTATTACCCTGTCGCTGTCTGTGCCTCTCACGTGGTGTGGAGACCAGGTGCCCCGTTCCATGATGCAGTGCCAGCAGCCCAGGGTACTTACAGTCCTCACCTGCGGCCTTCTGGGCAGAGTGCCTAGTTGGGGGTCTGTGCTTCCTGGCTGTCACTTTCCTCCCCCTCCAGGAAACAGCTGAGCAGTTGCCCGGACTGCTGGGTCCCGAAATGGCATCAGGTGCCACTCATTAGTGCTGTTGTCTACGAATTTCCTGAGTGCTCTCCGCTTTCTTTGGGGCCAGGGAGGCAGTGTTACTGTTTAGGTTTGGCGGGGCTCCTCTGGGGGACTGGAAGGACCACACAGGGCTTTGCAGCTGACACAGGACCAGAGGCTGCGTTGTGACTCTCTGTCTCGTGGTCTTCTTACCACACCGTAGAGTCAGAGGTGGGCCACTGTCTTCTAGTTTCCTGGTCCAAAAGGTTGCTATAATGTATGGTACATCTCCACTGAGCCTACTAAGCCCTTTCCTCTGGGGCAGTGGGACTGGTCTGACCCTGTGGGGTTTGTGCTGGGAAGTTCTTTAGATTTATATTACCATAATAAAATATCAGAGTCAGGCTTACTTCATAAAGCCGTGAGGTTTCTTTACTTCATCTATCTAGAGATTTAAGGGTGTGCCACCGTCAGCATCTGGAAGACTGTGGTGAAGACAGGGGAGTGCGTGTGATGTCAGGGTCACACTGGGAAATAGGAAGCCAGGAGAAGCAGAGTCCTACTGTCCTCTCGGAGGGCACACCCCCAAAGACCTCCCACCAGGCCCCGTCTCCCGACATCCCCAACAATACCACACTTGAGGATCAAGCTGTCAGTCTGTGGCCTTCTAGGAGCCAACCCCAAACCAGGCAGGTCAGCACTGGCAGGAGGCGAGAGGTGAGCTGCTGCTAAAAGTGGTGAGGGTCAGCGCGCG